GGTAAAATTAATATAAAGCACAGCCTTATTGCTTTAATAAAGTTCAAGAAATGTTCAATAAATAGTGAAATGTATTAATACTAATAATCTAACTGGTTTTTATTATCCATTTAGAATTTAGAGTCGGTTGCTCTGTGGGTCAAATGTCTCGACCTGTGGTCATGACCTCTGACCTCATATGGGGCATCTGTGCGCTGAAGGTGTCGCTATGGATTCTGACAGTGTTATTAAACACGATCAATAATGCTGAAGGTGCTTTTGAGTGGATCAGAGAGGCCGGTGTTATATTGATTAAATTGAGTCGAGGGAGAGAGAGAGACAGATGGAACGAGAGGTTTAGGAGGAAGCGTTATGATATCAGATATGCAAACTGTGGATGTCAGCAGAAATACACACACATACACACAGCAGGTGATGTCACTGTATATGTAGGTCAAATGTGGCTGAGGTTGTGTTGCACTGTATATTCTACTTCTGTATTTTTAGTAATCAAGCTAAACACACACACACACACATGCACACACACACACACGCACACACACACACACACACACACACACACACACACACACACACACACACACACACACACACACACACACACACACACACACACACACACACTGGTTTCCATTTTTTATGGGGACTTTCCATAGACATAATGATTTTTGTACTGTACAAAATGTATTTTCTATCCCCTAACACTAAACCTACCCATCACATAAAACTTTCTGCATTTTTTCATTTTCAAAAACCATAAAAAAAAAAAACTTTAATTTATAAGCTGTTTTCCTCATGGGGACAAAAAAATTTCCCCACAAGGACAAGGATTTTGGACATTTTTGTGGGGATATTTTGTCCTCATAACGTAGAGTTTACCAGGACACACACACACACACACACACACACACACGCACACACACACACACACACATACACACATACACGCACACACATACACGCACACACATACACGCACACACACACACACACACACACACACACACACACACACACACACACACACACACACACACACACACACACACACACACACACACACACACACACACATACACACACACACACACACACACACACACACACACACACACACACACGTGCACAAACATGTATGTTAAATCTTCGTAAACTTTATCAAAACACACACATTCCCATAACAAAAGACACTAACATTAATAAAAACATCCCAGATGACAAATATATTGCTCAATTATTATTCTTATTGCTCAACAGGCTTACGTTTTTAATTATGATTCATTTACAGTAAGTAACTTTGTCTCAGATAATTCCTCATTGCATTTCGTAGGACATATAAAAACAGACACTAAAGACTCCATTGTGATTGTGCAGTAATAGCTATAAAATCAATATGGACCGAAGCTTAGATCATTCGTGAAAGCGTATCTTTTAAACACAGTCTGAGACATCACTGAGATCTGCATCTCGAGAGGAGACGCCTCTCAGGAAGAACATCGGAAAAGCAGGAGCCTCTTTTAGAGCTGTCTAGGAGAAATTGTATTTGTGCATTTTTCATTCCTGTGGATCTCATTATATTTCTGATTATTTTCTAGCAACATGCATCCGTTACACCGCGTCAACTCTTAATAATATCTGCAATCTCTCTGTCTGACAGACGTGTTCACAGAGTTTTCCCTGCGCTGGACGAGCTCTGAGAAATGTGTTTCTGTCTCATGGACCGTATCCAGCGAAAGACAAGATCCACCTCGCTCGGATCATCAGGTGACACTCTCACATTTATAGACACTTTATTCAAAGATGTATTCAAGCTTTACATTTCATAAGAAACTGTATTCAGCAATGACCCGTTAAAATGATCAAAAGTGACAGGAAACACATTTATAATGTAACAAAAGATTTTTTTTCAGTTCAAATAAATGCTGTTTTGAACTTTTTGTTCATCAAGAAAAAAGTTTCCTCAAAAATATGAAGCTGCACAACTGTTTTCAACACTGATAATAATCATAAATCATCATATTAGAGTGATTTCTGAAGGATCATGTGACACTGAAGACTGGAGTAATGATGCTGAAAATTCAGCTTTGATCACAGGAATAAATTACATTTTACAGTATATTCACATAGAAAACAGTTATTTTAAATTGGAATAATATTTCACAATATTACAGTATTACTGTATTTCCGATCTAATAAATGCAGCCTTGGGGAGCAGAAGAGACGTCTTTCAAAAACATTAAATAATCCTGAACTTTTGAATTGAATTGACTTTGTCGTTTTAGTGTCATGCTGTACCAGTGGAACTGTGTTTGTGTGATATAACTTGTGTGACGTTACAATCATATTCATCAAACACAGGATCAATGTAAAAGAGGGTAAAAGAGTGTTTGAGGGTCATAGTGTGTGTATGTGTGTGTGTGCATGTGCGTGTGTGTGTGTGTGTGTGCGCGTGTTTGTGTGTGTGTGTGTGAGGTTGGGCTGAATCATCAGATGTCCATTATCGCTCTGGCTGATGGCCGCTGTCCAAACTTCACTCTGATTGGATAAAAACGTCCCGTCAGAAGGTGGAGTGTGAATGTGTGACAGAAACACACAGAAACCGGGAGCTTTACACACTTTTGAAGAATACACTGAGCACTAGATGAAGCCAATGGAAATGAGCTCGACTTAAAAATGCAAATCAGCGACAGCGTGATAATGTTACGCAGCATATCATATCAAAGCAAATGCAACGAGAGTGTTGCAGTGATTTAACACAATCTACAAATGTGTTTGGCATTTTCTTCTTTTTATTTGTAACCTCGTCCATTCACTAGAGACTCCTCAATCAATTCCTGCCTTTTATTTGGAAATACTGTACTAATGGATGCACAAAGCAGCAATATGATAAAAACACTCAATACTCAAAAAATAATTGCATTTATTAAATCCCAATGAGCAATATTTTGTCCACAAAGTGATGTAGTTCATTTAGCATATCTTCATGTCATTTATTTATTTATTCATTTTTTTATGGATGTCATGCAACATTGCAAAGCATTTTTTATTGCAATATTTCTACTCCTCTGAGAAAATGTATTTATTGTGTTGATTCCCTTCAAAAGGTTTTTAATCACGTGCATCCGTTTTAGACTATTTAGGAAAAATGGAAAAACGCGTTTTTATTTTATATTTTAATAACTCAATTATGATTTTCTCCATGAAAATAGCTAAAGAATCTGGTATAGCGTTAAAACTGTGTGTGTGTGTGTGTGTGTGTGTGTCGGCTTTAATGCTGCTCATCCAATTGGAATTTAGAGTCGTTTCATAATAATGTTTGTGTTTTATTCTGCTAATGAAGAGACACGACCGTGCAAAAGTTTGGGGTTGGGAAGATTTTTAAAATATATTTTAAAAAGACGTCTCTTCTGCTCACCAAGGCGGATTAAAAAACAGTAAAAACAGCAATAATGTGAAATATTGCAATTTAAAATAACTGTTTTCTATGTGAGTGATATATAGTAAAATGTAATTTATTCCTGTGATCAAAGCATGATTTCAGCATCATTACTCCAGTCTTCAGTGTCACATGATCCTTCAGAAATCACTCTAATATGATGATTTGCTGCTCTAGAAAAATGTCTGATTATTATAAATATTGAAAACGGTCAATATTTAAATATAAAATCTATTTTTTTATTGACATTATAAATGTCATTTTTGATCAGTTTAATGTGTCTGAATGGAAGTATTAAATTATTTAAGCAATCTTCCTGACCACACACTTTTGAGCAGCGAGAGTAACGCGTGTGTGTGTGTGTGTGTGTGCACGCACGCAGGAGGAGTTATGTTGGCGTGGAGCTGGTCCAGTGGCTCCTGGAGCAGTGTGTGTCGGTTCAGTGCCGGTTAATGGCGTCCCGTGTCTGGCAGGTGCTTCTGGAGCTGGGGATTCTGCACTCGGGTAACACACACCACTATAGACTACTATTATAGGGCTTGCGAATATTTTGAAATTATTTTGATTTTTATTTGGTTGCATTTTCAATATTTTTGTTATAGATTTAGTCATTTTGTTGTGTTTTTGTAATTTTTTTGGTCCCACTTTATATTATGTGTCTTTAACTACTATGTACTAACATTTAACTGAAAAATGGATAATACTATTTTTATTTGATTTTATATGAAATATATATTATCCAAAACATGTTTTATTCTAAAACGTCGAGGAAAATCAAAGCCATAAATCTAAATAAGTTGATATCTCAAAAAATGAGCTAAGTTTTCAGTAAGATTTTGTTTGGGCGCAGTACCAAACGTTTCCACTTGATGAAATTCGTTTCCCATTCATTTCCAATGCGGCCATTTTTGACCATGAACAGTACAAGTGTGACTTTCTTAACCTTTTCGAATCATGATCGATTAAAAATGACCGAACAACACCAAAGGGTTATTTCATTTTTAATTTTAATTACATTTTATGAATTAAGCAGCTCGTAAACATACTTTTTAAACATACTCATTTTTTTTTTAAGACATTTTCTTATATACCGTACAATCTTTTTGGCTTAAAGTGTTCTATAAAATTTAGTCATGAACTCTAGGGTTTTATAAAGAATCCTATACTGAAACTTTCTTTCTAAGAATGTATAGAATTTCCTGTAACATGGCATACAGTGCAGTATAGAGCACACTGCGTGAAATACTGTATCCCTAATATACTGTAAAGTGTGAAGAATCAACTTTGATAGCAAATTGAGTTGTTCAGGCATGATGTAAATTTGTAGGTCACCCCAGAAGGCTCATTCACCATGGGTTCCCTCTGGAATTTCTAATGGGTTTTTAGGGAATCATTTTAGAAATTCCACTGGGAAAATTATAATTCTGTAGGACTATAAACTTGGAACAGCTCTATATCAACCACACACACACACACACACACACACACACACACACACACACACACACACACACATCACATTCGCACATGGTTGAAGGAAGAACAAGAAGATGATCAAGTTTCAAAAGTCTTTAATAATCCACTTCGAAGGCAATCCAAACAGACAGACAAACACAACACAACCTCTATATAGACGTGACCGGACAAACTGAAATACAAAGCAAATGAGGGAAATACTCACAAACGCCTATGATGATAAATTAATCTCCATGACAACTAAAGAGTGGCGGGAAACTGAACAAAGGAACACATGTGACTGAAAATAACAAACTAAGGGGCTGTTTGCACGTCACCGTTTTCAACTAAAAACGTAAAACTTTTTATGCGTTTTGGCCGTTCATTTACACGACAACAGCGTTTTTTGTGCCTGAAAATACAAACTTTTGAAAACGGGTTTCAAAGTGCAAGTTTTTGAAACCGGTCTCTTGTGTAAACAACAAAATCGTGAATCTCTGAAGAAGATGACGTCATGCACATGTGTATTACATGTTCGATCTAGTGTTTCATCGCCATCTACTGGCCTGGCAGCAGAATACAGCGTTTTCAGTCGTTTTCGCGGATCCGTGTGAATGTGGATCGGTTTGACAATAGCGCCGTCTGTACGCGGAAAACTCAAAGGAAAAACTTCTCAGGTTTAAGCATATCGTTGTCATGTAAACGTACTCTTAAAGTCCATGAAAATGAGGCCACATTTACACATAGCCGGGTATTTAGAGAAACGAATATTTCCCCCCTCCATTTTCAATAATAACATCATGCACACAACATCGTTTTCAAAACAGTTGTCATTTCCATCAACCCGCATAAATACGCCGTCGAGCGCCATCATAACTCTGCCAAACTGGGCGCTCACATGACGTTAAGCATTTTCTGGCGCATAATGTGACGTTTGAGAACCTAAAACCCCGTTTCTCCCGGTTGACACGGCAACACATAACCGCCGTTATCAGAAATCTCCACTTTAGCCGGAGTTTTTAGAAATAATCGTTTTCTGTGATAAAAACGGGGTTTTCGTGTAAATGAGAGGTTTACACGGCACCGTTTTCAACTAAAAACGTAAAACTTTGTATGCGTTTTGGCCGTTCATTTACACGACAACAGCGTTTTTTGTGCCTGAAAATACAAACTTTTGAAAACGGGTTTCAAAGTGCAAGTTTTTGAAACCGGTCTCTGTGTAAACAACAAAATCGTGAATCTCTGAAGAAGATGATGTCATGCACATGCGTATTACATGTTCGATCTAGTGTTTCATCGCCATCTACTGGCCTGGCAGCAGAATACAGCGTTTTCAGTCGTTTTTGCGGATCCGTGTGAATGTGGATCGGGTTGACAATAGCGCCGTCTGTACGCGGAAAACTCAAAGGAAAAACTTCTCAGGTTTAAGCATATCGTTGTCTTGTAAACGTACTCTTAAAGTCCATGACAATTTTCAGTTTGCTAGTAAATATAACAATTAATATAAAAATTCTGAAGTAGAAAAACTGAAATAGGATTTTTTTTTTAAAAAGTACTGCAATAATAATTTTATTTGCAATTTCCAAAAACTATTTTTCCATTGCATGCTGAACCCCCTCTCTGTCTTCCCCTCAGTGGACCAGCGGCTGGTCTTTGAAGACTCAAACACGTACTATCAGTTCTCGTTTGAGGAGTGTGACGCTCAGGGCTGTGAGTTTCGCAACGAGGAGGAATGGCAGAACGGGGTCCGTCTTCTTCTGCAGCTCGTCCCCTACGTCCAGTTCAGGGTCGTCAGTCCGTAAGTACAACCAACATGTGACATGCTAACTCTGTCTCAGTCAGTTAATATGTACAGAATGCTACTGTACTACTCATGTTCATTTTGCCATATGTACTGGATATTGTGTGCAGTATGTGAACTTTCTATATCCAGAAATCCAGTATTCAGATAGAGCACACTATAGTAGAATATTGTCATATCATGATATTATTTAAAGAAGTAGCGTATACTGTGCAGTGCACTAGTCTCCATGTGTCTGTCTGTTTGATTTGGATGCATCAGGAAACCGATTGTTCTCTTGACCTTTTGATTTGGTTTTTCCTTGTTAATCCTGTTTAACCACAAATCCTCGTCAGGAAGCAGGATCAATCAAATATGTGTGTGTTTGTGTTGTGTGAGTGTATATAGGCTCATGTATATGAGCTTTAGAGGGGTATTTCTTTTTCGTACAGAGACAACATCTTTGCTAATCATGTTATTGATCATTTGTTTGATTTTGTTAAAGTTTATTTTTGGAAAACCTTTCTTATTACCAATGTTAAAAACAGTTTTAAACACTCACTCTTATTCCTCAAGGATGCATCAAATTACATGCATAAAAGTGGCATTTATAATGTTACAAATGATTCCATTTTTTTAATAAATTCTGCTCTTTTCAAATTTTCTATTCATCAAAGATGCCTGAAAATGTATCAGGGTTTCTACAAAAATATGAAGCTGTTTTCAACATTGATAATAATCATGAATGTTTCTTGAGCATCAAATCAGCATATTAGAATGATTTCTGAAGGATCATGAGACACTGAAGTCTGGAGTAATATTTCTTAATATTACTTTTTTTGCTGTTTTTTTCTTAACCCTTTGATGCACAACATGGGTCTAAATAGACCCGACTGAGTTTTCATTTTCTATATCTTTGCAAGAAATTAATTTCATCATTCAGTATTCCATGTATTCCTCAATTAACTTGTTTTAGATCATTACAAATCCTTATTTAAATTTTTCCTTTCTTAATTTTCGAATAAAAATCGTTTTTGTTTCACTACCCTTCTAATGCGCAACATGGGTCTAAAAAGACCCGTATTCATGTTTCTTTGCTGAATATTTGAAAGAAATGTATTTTATCATTTATGAATCCAGGTATTCATTAAATATCTTGTTTTGGATTTCCACAAATCATTATTTTTATTTTTCCTTTCTAATAAACAAACACGGTTTTTGTATTTCTACATCAATTTTACACACATGGGTCAAAAATGACCCATATAGGAACCTTTGATATTTATAATATATTTACTGCAGAAAACTATTCACCTGCCACACATTTCACAATTCAACACGGCTGCTTTTGTATATTTCATGCATGTACGTTTTATTAATACATTTTTTTGTCACAGAAAATATTTGATATTTTGTGAAAGACATAGATATAGCCTAAAATTTGAACGTTTAGGCTAAGGTTACCTTGAACTTGAAATCCATTACTAGTGCAAAAGAGAAACATGTCCAATACTATTAGCTAGCTTGCGGTCGACATATTTTATTTTATCTAATGTTAGCTATAGGTCAACAAAATAAAAGTTGCAATAGAAAGTTATATATATAGCCTACAAGTATATATTGGAGCTGTTGGGCAGAAACCTTACCTGGGCAGTACCTCCATATTAATTTTTATTTGTGGTCATAAATCAATGCTATCGTTCACGTAAGCCGTCGTGTGGTGGCGTTGTGGTGCACTATGGCTGCTGTCGCATCATCCGGGTGGATGCTGCACATTGGTGGTGAGGAGATCCCCCACAGTTGCACTACACTACAGTTCAATTTCAGTGTTATCGGTTATATGTGTGTTATGCGTGACAAAGTGGCCAATAAACATATTTCAAGTGTTATAGTAAATGTGTTGATCTAAACAACTGTGACAATGGTTATTTTAACAAAAAGTTCTCTTTATTCTTTTGTTTTATCACGCTTGCATAGATGGGTCATTTTAGACCCATGTGTGTAAACTTGATGTATTTACACAAAACCTAGGAAATATCAAAATATGAATTTGTGATAATTGAAAACACGATATTTTGAATATTCATAAATCATGAAATTTATAGATCATGAAATATAAAATGCTCAAATAAAGTGATTTCAAAAGGTGAAACAAAAAAAAATGCCGAGCCATGCATGAAATAACATAGGAAATGAATACGGGTCTTTTTAGACCCATGTTGTGCATTAGAGGGGGTATCCATAGCTTGCGCATCAAAGGGTTAATAAATAAGCCTTGATGAGACTAAAAATAAAACATAAAAAAATGTTACCGACCCCAAACCTTTGAATGATATTGTATTTCTGTATATTACTATCACAAAAGAGTTTCCAAGTCAAGTCAGCTTTATTTATATAGCCTAGCGCTTTTTACAATACAGGTTGTATCACAGCAGTTTCACACGTGATGATTTTATTAAAGAGGTTCAGGTAACTGTTCCCCTTCTTCAAAATCCCAGTTTATCTCCAGGACTCGAGGCCTTTGACATCCAAAACACAAGATCAGGGTCCCTTTTAAAAGAAGATAAGCTCACATTCAACATCGTTGTCCCTGTAGTCCACGACCCGATCAGAACAAACCCGCGGCCAGCGTTCGGGTCATTCACTCAACCTCTATTCGATTGAACTAAGCTTTGTGTAGATTAAAGCTTTTGATTGGCTTAAACATGTCTTTGCTAAAGATGATGGGATTGAGAACGTGTCCATCCTCTAACGCTTTCATCGCTTCAAGTGTGTCCGCGGTGAGATTTGATTCAGGCTGTTTCGTTAGCAGTGAAGGACGAGGTTGATATCGCAGAGAGATGTGAACTGCAAGATTCAATTTGAACAGACAGCTGATGTCATTTTCGGGAAGGTGAACATGGGATGGCGTCCCGTGTCCACGGCAGCATTTTCCCCCTCGCTGACGGGATTGGAAGTGACACGGTTTGGCCTCGGTGACACCAGACGGCGAGCTGTTCGATCCCGCTCGGCTTCACAGAGCTGCGCTTCGACCCCAATCAGCCAGAACCTCTTCGCCCCCTCGTTTCTCATCCGAGAGTGTATTAAACCAGAAATGAGATCCTCACGCAATAGCCAACCAAATGAGATCAAATGAAAAAAAGAAACTCATGCAAGTTTGCTGATATTACCGCGCTGCAATACCCCGCGCCGTTTCCCAATCTAAAGAAATTCTCTGACTGAGATTGCAGTCTGAACTGAACGTGATGAGAAAAAATACGGGATACTGCAGAATAATGATGAAGAAAAGTGAATTGACAACATGTCTTTGTATTGTGCTGTCACTGGCTGCATGCAAAAAACACAAACAGCACGACCAGTGAAGTTCGATTCATCAACGAATGACTCTTATGAGCATTGTTTTAATGAATCATCATAACACTCAAGGAATCGATGTGGATCAGACTAATGAATTAAAGGGATAGTTCACCCGAAAATATAAATTCTGTCATTAATTGCTCACCCGCACATCATTCCTACAAGACTTTCGTTCATCTTTGTACCACAAATGAATATCTGGTAAAGTTAGCTTAGTTAACATGAACTAAAAATGAACAATACTTCGTCAGCATTAATTAATCTAAGTTCATATTAATTTCAACATTTACTAATACATTATTAAAATCAATGGTCGTATTAGTTAATGCACAGTGAACTAATATGAACAAACAATGAACAGCTGGACTTTTATTAACTAACATTAAAGGGATAGTTCACTTTGAAATTAATTTTTGGTATGTTTTAGCTTACCTCAAGGGCATCCAAGATTGTGTCTTTGTTTCAGAAGTGGTTTCAATTTTGATATTTTTAGGTCAAAGCGTTCTTGTCTGTCAATCATATAATGCAGGTCTATGGTCACCACCTCAAAGAGCATGCACAGAGAAGTCCAAATTAAACATGATTTAATGACTCGTAAATGTAAGTACACATTGATGGCCTAAGACACGAAACGAGCGGTTTGTGTGAGAAAACGAACAGTATTTATATCGTTTTTACCTCTTGTAAACACAGCCACGTCCAAGTGATCTGGACGTGACAATATTTTATTATATATGTTTTATTATATATATAGGACTTTTATTATACCGGAGCGAAAGATGTAAAAAAGATGGTCAAATGAGTCTGACTTTAGTGTGGTTTTGTGTGAATGTGATTGTGCTTTCTGTTGATTTGTGTTGTGCTGGTCTCTTCAGCAGAATCAAAAACCCCTGAAGCTACAGGAAGGACAGCTTTTAGCCAAGAGTGTTTGGATACTGCCTCTCTTTCAGCCACCCACACACACACACACACACCTCGTGCTGCACGTCTCATTTACATGTTATTTGCATTTTATCTTCAGCTCTGGTGAAACTAGTAATGGTTCTGTGGGCTGAATGAGCTTGCATTTGCGTACAGTATGTGTGTGTGTTTATGTCTACATTTGCCTGCCTGTGTGCATTTGAGTGTGCATGTGTGAGCGTGTCTGTGTTCGCATGCATATGTGTGTGTGTGTGTGTGTGTGAATTGTACTCTCGTGCCGCCATTACGAATCACTCGTGGAGGTAGAGAGAGACGAGGAGGAGAGATGCGCCGTGTGATGAAAGCGTGTCAGTCGCGTGATGAATGGACTGACAGTGGAGGAGAAGGAGGGAAACTTTGGCCCACTTCTCAAACTCACTGGCCCAGTTTGAGCTGCGTGATATGGAAAGATGTGCTGGAGGTTTCCTGCTTTGTCCCAGATTAGAGCAGTTTTCAGTTTGTTCTGCTCATGTTGCGGTTCATACATGCACAATCTGCTCTAAAAATGTACTTTTTAAATCCCCAAAGAGCCATATAGCTTATGCATAAACACTATTTAGTAACAGTAAAATGTTCTGAAGAACATATAAATAAAAAATTCAATTATTAATGAACAATATAGTAACTCAAGAAAAATTATTTTTATTTTTAAGAGTGTAAGTGTGGACTAAATATTTGATCCATCAGATCTTACATGCATTTTAAACTTCCTACCACATGCCAAAAACCCAGTCTGAGCTTGATGTGTGTTTTGGAGCATCGTGTGTAATGCAGTGCACCACCAGCAGGGGGCAGTAGAGAGCAGAGAGGGCTTTGAGTGTGCTTGGAATGGCGTACTACCAGGGGCGTCACTAGGATTTTCATTTTAGGGGGGCTAAGCCCCCAATATGATTTTTAAAAAAATTATATAAAAAAGGTAACACTTTAGTTTAGGATCTAAAGATCACTATTAACCATTTTCATTACGATGCAAAGGCACGGTTTTATAATAACTGTGGTCCCAAATGTGAGGTAGGGCAAATAGGGGTGTTAGTGGTCTCCCCGAGAAATTTTTTATTTCTCTGATCTACATATGTGCATTTTAAGATGTTCTGAAGGCCAAAAAACTTGGATAGTGGGCAGCTGATCATTTTTCTCTCCTCATCAGCATCACACTCTTTTTCTCTTTGTTTTTCTCTTGCCCTGTCTCTTCCCCTCCTAAAGCTGAGCTTTGACTGATATAGGCTTTTCATTTTTGTCTGTCAGTGAAGAAAGTAAACATAGGGTCAACTGATTTTGATTTGATTGCCTATGATATGAATCATTTTCTCAGACGCGTTTATTTACTGAAAGCTACTAAAGGTAATTAAGTTTATTAAATGCATTCACAATATGTAGGCTACACATTTATTATTGATCTTATGCCTAATACAGGGCCGTAGACAGGGCTTTATAATCACAGAGGTCCTAAATTTGAGGTTGGTAGGGGGTTAAATTTTTTTATTTCTCTGATATGTGCATTTCAAGACGTTTGAAGACCAAAAAAAAAAGGATAAGAAATCGCTTTAAAACCATGTCAGTGGGCAGATTATTTGTCAATACCGCTGCTCTCTTCTCTTCTCATCTTCATCACTCTTTCTTTTCTTCTCAGTCTCTTCATCCCTTTCTCTTCCCCTCCTAAAGCTGAGCTTTTTTAATTTACTAAAGGCTACAATTTGTATTATATTCTCAATATGTACACATTTATTATTAATCTTGTGCCTAACATGATGAAAACGGCTTTGTTAATGTTTCTTGTAAACTAATTATTACATTACATGAGTCACGTTACATAGGCCTATTTTCAGTTCAAAATGGCGAAATTAGACAAAACTATATTAGTTTGCCTGATTATTTTTTGTCATTCGTTTAACATTTATGACCTAAAAAAAAAGTAAAATATGAAATGTTAAGTTTAGCTACTTACATCTTATCTCGCACTTGACCGTACACTGAAGCGTCGAGTCGCACTGTTAAAATTCGCGCTCAGCGTCTGTGAACATAAAGCCCGCCTACTTTGATTTGATTGGTCATCTCAAATATTCTGACATTGACGAGCAGTGACAGACCAATGAGGCTCAGATGAACACACACAAGAACACACACAAGAACACACACACACACACACACACACACACCCTGTCCTCTGTTTCTGACGTGCTCTCTGCTCGGCGCCGCTGCGGATTGAAGATGAAGAACGCGCTGTATCTGATTATAACAAGACTGAAGCGAACACGAATTTGTGTAGCCTACATTAATCTCACATTTTTAGGGGGGCTAGGCAGAAGTTTAAGGGGGCTGAAGCCCCCCTAAAAAGGGCCTAGCGACGCCCCTACGTACTACCATAACTGGCATACTTTTTGTTTTCAGTGTGTAATATGTAAACTGTGCACAGTATGTGCATTTTCTGTTGGCATGGATGGAATACCATAGACATAAACTACAACATTTGCCAAAAAGTGCACACTGCATCCCACAATGCATTGCACTCGACTTGACCTTCCATTTCCAAAGTGACGAGTTAAGCAAAATCAACCACATTTTTTAAAACGACTGTTTCCTGATTGATTGTTTGATCATATTGCCAACAATTTAGGCGTTTTTACACAAAAATGGATTAAAAGGCACATTAACAGGAGGATGCACTCTCTGAATGTACATGCACAATATAATATTCGTCACGGAAAGCTTATTTATATTGCACACTATACAATACACTAGTATTCACAGTATAGGTACACTGTAAAAAATGATTTTTAAAGTTGTAAACAAATATTATTGGATTGTGTTTTACAAGAAAATACTTTCTACTTGAAAATGTCGGTAACGCTTCCTTTTACAGTCCTGTTACCCATGTACATACTAGTACACGTAAGTACTGTAAAAGGAAGCGTTACCAACATTTCATGTTTATTTCAATGTGTTTCTGGGTAAAAACTGTTTCTACACCAGTTTTTTCCAGTGTAGTACACTAGTATTCATGTCCCAAATGATGCCCTTGCCATCGTCTTCCTTCAAGTCCTCAGTCTGGTGTGATAACAGCGTTTAGCCTGTCAGTAGGAATCCATATCAGCGCACACTGGCCACAGTTGTGTGTCAAGAGCACTTCTGAAACCTGGGACACACATCAAGTGCACTGTTTGGGACGGGGCCTGTTTTGAACATGACATCTGCTTCTTGTCTTACAGAACATCACTGTCACGGAGGTCAGCTCTCACGAGACAGCCATGCATTGTCACTTCAGAGGTGTTTTATCAAGTGTGTGTGTGTTCTCTTGCAGACCCGAGGAAGACCCCGACAGAAAGCGTGATATCTGCAGTGAGATCCTCCAGATGAAGGCTCTGGAGAGACTCACGTCTACGGTAAGCGTGCATGTGTTTGCTGACCCATGCGCCAGATCCCCGACTCCATGTCTTCAGTCCCCTGGTGTGTGTAAATATCCACTCCAGCCTGAAAGAATCTCATCCATCACACAGACACTCATGTGACACCAGCGGACAGAGAAACCATCCATTTAGCTAACCGCTCGCTCTCCAACAGACTCCTGCATAGTCCCGCCACGGCTCGCCGTTGCTGTTGGGCTCTTTACATTATTCAGGGCGACCAGGATTTATACCTGGAAATCACAGTTTTAGAATTTTGAAAATATCATGGAATTTAAAAAAAAAATTAAGTCATGAAATGTACATTTAATTTTTTTTTAAAGGGATTTTTTTCTATAAAACTAAATATTTTTAAATTAAAATATGTATATTTTATATATAACATTTTATTGTTATAGTTCTAGAAATATTTGAATATATATATATATATATATATATATATATATATATACGTATATATACACTCACCTAAAGGATTATTAGGAACACCTGTTCAATTTCTCATAAATGCAATTATCTAATCAACCAATCACATGGCAGTTGCTTCAATGCATTTAGGGGTGTGGTCCTGGTCAAGACAATCTCCTGAACTCCAAACTGAATGTCAGAAT